ATTGAAAAGGGCACTATATGACAACACTTGAAGAAATCAGACCAGTAAACTGGTTGAATGTACAACACACAACTTGCATCTTCTGTTGCGAACTGATGTGTGGAGTTTAACTGTTGACTATTAGAACCTGCTCAACGGTAAATTTAGTTACGGATAACGGAAAATGACCACAGAATTGACGTTACTGTCCACTTGAACTATAATAAAGATGTGCTTTATAACGTCCCCTCCCTCACCTAAAAATATTCCTCTAAAAAAAGCATTTTGTCGTCTTTTCTTCTCTGCGCTTGCTCCTTGCTATTGTTAAGGACAACAAGAACAACTGACCGTTATCACGTCAGTGAGGAATAACAAGCAAATTTGGAAAAAAAGAAGTAAATAACATTATGTGTAATGAGAGGTGTCTGCAAAGCATACTTTTCTATCAATTCTTCTATCAGCTATTCTTTGCAGAGAAGAGAGAGAGAGAGAGAGAAAGTGAGTTAGAGAAAAAAAAACAAAAATTGCTAAAAGTTTAGAAAGTTTATCTGCTCTGCCCTAATCCATGAGCCAAATTTCAAAGTCGAGTAAAAATAAAAGAAACAGCAGCAAGAAAAGTTTCCTGTAACCACCAATCATAAGATCAATATAAAGCATCATATAAAGAGACTGTTTTTTTTAATGTATATCTTTCTAATATCCTCTCCTTAATCTGGATATTCTCTCAATAATTAAAGCGTAAATCTTTAGGGATAAAACGAAAAAATTCATTCTTTTTATAAATTTCTATTACGGCCGATCTTTAAACTCCTTATAGAACGTCTGTACGTATGTAAAAACACATTTCCAGTCTGGCCGATCGCCCATCATTAACATATCGTCCACCTCTAACAGCGGTACAACTCCATTATCTCTAAAAATAAAAAAAATTAAAAAATGAATATATGAACTATTAAGAGTGTAAAAAAAAGATTTTTTTCAAAAAAGAAGTGACTAGATTAATAAACACTCTCACATTGTAGTTACTACACACTAATATTTATAAATGAAATGATTAGCTGATTTTCCAAATTATTATATAAATAAATAGTATAATGATAGTCTTAGCAGTAGTCAGATTAGTGCTTACTCGGCCACTTTAAACGCTAATTCAAAATTTCCTCTCCTGTTTCTTGGATCCAACATATTAAAATCGAATGCATCTGGTGCAAAACGATGGATTAGCGCACAAAATGCCATTCCATCTGCCCATGATGACGAAAAATTTGTAACTTTTACCTGCAATAAGCAACTGATTACTGCTCCTGTGGTCTCCTAACAAATGTTGTTGCAGTACAGATAAAACTTGACTCTACTACACATGTGAAATAAAACATTTAGGATTCCTTTCTTTCACTAACAACTCACGAGAGTTTCTGCTGCACAACTCGAAAAGGGGCAAACTGCATTTCTTAAAAACGGTTTAGATAGTTATTTATATATTTACTATTTGAATAGTTTTCTAAACATTCTTCATAAAAAGTAAATATATCAAGTAATAGACAGCGTTAAAGCAAAAGACGTTGTTTTGAAATTTTTTTTAATTCTCAAAAATAGCAAAAGGCCTTCATTATATTATTGATAACCTGTTAATTATTATTATGCTTATTAGTACTGTCATTATTAACATTCTTTTTGTATTTCTATTAAACCTATATCATTAATTTTATTTTGATTGTTATTGTTATTGTTATTATCACTACCATTACCATTATCATTGTCATTGTCCCATTAAGCTGTGGGAATGTCCAAAAAAAAAGCTCTCTACTTAAAATTGTTCACCAGGCTTAAATTACAGTCCCTCTTTTCAGTGACAATAAAATAGCGAATGAAACAGCAACGACCAATGTTTCAAAACTGACTCTTACAGATGAAATAGGTAATAAGTAAATATGTAATTTAGAAAAAACTCATTTTAGTCTCAAGTCTGGCTAATTTCTCTGTGTCATGTTTAATCGATAAATATGTAAACAATATGCTATGTCAACATACAAATGAAATAATGTCTGAATGTATTTTGTACAATAAGCGACTCTATAATAAATAAGGTTATGTTTCTCGAATACTTTTCTTGAGTCTCCACTAAAGAAAGAAAAGCAAATAAATGTTGTTTGCTGGTGCAACGATTACTTCTTCGGTCTAATTCATTTAAAAACACCAAATAATGTCATCTCTGTCAATGTCGTAGATAAACTAAAGATAGTAAAAGCTGATTTTAAAAAGTGACGATGAGTGTTAATATATATGAACTTACAACCTATACAAATTTATAAATACATGAGCACAAAGTTACAGACTCTTAAAGTTGTAAGAGCAACACCACCCATGCTGTTTTCACAAAACTTTTAGCTTGCTAATCGCCACATTTTTTGTACAAAGAAATTTAAAAAATCCAAGAATTATTGCTTGAAAAATGCTCGTTTTTATTTATTGTTTTGACAATTAAGTTTGCAGTTGTTATCACTTTTAAAAATTTGATCTTCAGATAAACCTAATTTAGTTTTTTTTCAAAGCTTAAGCAGCCACAATAGAGATAAAAAAACAAACTTCCGTCTTCAAAAAAAAACTGACAGTGGCAACAAAAACTTAAAAGTTTAGAATCAAAGTAATTGCTGTAAGCCGACCTTTGAAAAAATCTTTCAGATCATTTATCATATTACTTCAGAAAAATTTTATTCTCTGTGGATATATCTTGGTAAGCAGAGCAATAACAGCGACATACTTAATTGCATTAAAATCACTTCTTTATAGTTATTGTCCCAAATAATTTAAAAGTAGTTGATAACTTACGGGGTACCCTTGAAGCTTATGCTGACACCAACGAAGCAATGCTTCCTTGATCGATGCAGGGTTGAACGGTTTTATCACTTGCGCCTGGCTGAAAATCTCATCTTGTAAAGTTACTATAACGGTAATGTGAGCTTGAATTTCTACAAAATCGCCCTTTTTCATAATCAGGAGAAAAAACATATGCACCTCAAAGATTGGGTTCTAAACGTGGACAGTCAAAAAGGAAAAATTGTAGTAGAAAATGTCAAATTGTTTTAAGTATATTATTAAATCAAAAATTGAAATATCATTTTCTTGTTAATGTAAAAGAGGCATTAGTTAAAATAAATCTCAAATACATCGAATAGATTTACTTGGCTCTAGCAATTTGATCACGCTGTTTGAAAATGTTTGTCTTTGACATCTGGTTAAGACCTGCAAAAAAACGCATGACAACTATATTTTAGATAAATCCGCCAATAAAGACCAAAAGAAAGATAAACTGTAAAAAAAATAATCCCTGAAAATAAAGGCAACATTTTGCTTCATACAGTTTTAAATTTCTAAGAAAATTTCCATTGTTCCAGTATAAAATTCCCTGAGACTTAATTATCAATCAAAAATAAGACCCCGGGTACAATAGATGCCAACATCAATAACTCTCAAATAATATAGGCTCAAAACTACAAAGCTTCTAGTCTGACTACGAAACTAAAGATGACTTCTTTGATGTATAAAAAATAAAAAACTTTTTTTTTTGCATTTCAAATTTTTTTTTTTCAGATAACATTCTACAGAAAAAAAAACTAGCTGAAACAATCGTTTAATTTATTATAATAGTAGTAAAATAATTTGCATTGTATCAACTTCTGTCTGCTAGTTGCTTTTCTACCTGCTTCTTTAACCTTGAAAACCTCAGCTGCCAATGCAACACTGTAATGCAACTGATTCACTGTTATGGCAAAATAGTAGCTGAAAAAACTTATGCTTTAATTCACAAACAGCACTGGAAAATAGTCTATTTGAGCATTATCACCACCACTGATACTTCACAAATTACATGTCCCTGATTTTGAACAGAATCAAAAACAAACGGTAGTAAAAGTGATTAAAACGCGAACTTTTTTCGGTGCTTGCTTACGCCCCATTTGACTGATTGAAATGAAAAGTTTTTCATCTGTGAAAACACCAAGATGCTTAAAATGTGAAAAAAAATGTATAAACAAGAAAAAACAGATTGTTTTTGTCATTATTCCGCAATCAATAAATACTGAAGCAGAAATAAAGAGTTTCTTTAAAAAAGAAAAAAGGAATGAAGAAAAACAAGAACAAAATAACAAACTGTTAGATGTATCTGAAAAATTTCATTCCCATCCACAGCTCACAGTCTTCGTCAAAAAACAATATCTACAGCCTCAAAAGAACAAAGCATAAAAAAAATAGACAAGTCAAAGCAGAAACATGATCAGGTTACTAATTAAAAACTAGAAAAATTAGAACCGTTCTGCAAAATATTACATCAAAGCAGTTGTTGTTCATCTCAAAAAATATCAAAGAATCCAGTAAACTTCTGTATTTTTCTGTTTTTTTCCTCCAGTAGCAGGTCTATAATAAAAAACTTCAGTTCCTTCAAGTCAAGCAAATGTTTTCATGTAAAAGTAAACATTTATAGCCTGGCCAAATAACTAAAGTTACTTCTAAGTTTTAACTTTTTAACTTTAAAAACAAATTCCTGAGGTCTTGTTTGACCCGGGGAAAATGCTTACATAACTACAGTTCTCAAAAAATAACCATATCCCATCCTTTGTAGAACAGTGTGTAGAAAAATGTAAAAAAATAGAAAAGCAAATGTTTTAATCGGCACGACTTCTAACTGATTGGGATAGAAACTACTAAATAAATCCGAATTGACATATCGCTTCTTTTGGTCTAGTCTCTGCTATACAGTTTCTCGCTTGATTAAAAAAGGTTTTTAATAATAAGCTACGTCAAAAATAAAAACTGTTCATAGCGTAATTCCATTTGCGACACTGAAGCAGAATGAGAAATTAAACAGGAAATTAAAGTCTTGAAAAGAAGAAAATTCCTTCACGTATTCTAAATCTTTGAACAGAAAGTAAGCAGTAATGTGAGCCACCAATGTTAACAATATTTAAAAATTTAGACAAAGTCAAGCATCAATGCAGTGATACACATGCTGTCTTTTACAAGCACCGGAAATGACCAAAGTCTTTGGCAAACAGCTTGTAGCATTGTTCATCTAATTCTCATGCGCTCCAGTGAACTCTTTAGCCATTTTATCATCTCTTAGTCTTTTTCAACTTCTCCTTCAATATATAATTTTGCTACGTTTCTTTCTTTCTCTGCAAATGAACATTTACAAATAAATATCTTTATTGTCCCTTCAAAAACTAAAAAGCAGTAAAAAATCTTTGACTTCTTTAGCTAAACTGACTTCTTTCCTAGTCAAAAAAAATTATTAAAAACTGTGATGTTTAATTACCCTCATTAACAAAAACAACAACAAGATAAAGGAAAAGTGACGAATAACTGCTAAACTGCAATGGCATTTCTCATACAAGGCCGATAAACTTAGCTAATTTCCCTCCGTTTCTAACCAGAAATGCTGTAAACTGTTAAAACAACAGAAGTACAGCCATGCCAAAAGAAACACTGATTTTGACCAATTTTTCCATCGTCTTTTATAATTTACAATTTAAAAAATGTTCATTTTACCAAGGGTTTTTGCAAAGCTTTAGTTACTGACGCTGTGCAGAAAAGCCATGCTCAATATACTCATATTTGAGTACCAAGTTATTCATCAGCTTTACTAATTTTATTGCTAGCTGAGGCGTTAGCAGGAATAAGCTTTTAATTCTATAAACTTTTTCGTAAATAAATGTCTGAATTTCTTATTTTTCCTCCTAACATAATTTTAAACAATTTTTCGCCATTAGTTTCTGCTCAACTATATTGTACAAAATAAGAAAAAATTGTTTTTTTTTATTAAACCAAAAGTTTTCTGAATTTTTTTATCATTTTTTTTTAGAGAGGGCTTTGTTAGCAGTTAATTAGAATATCATTCGTTTGTAGAAAACCAAAGTTTATCCGCATTACCTAATCAGAGCGGAAATTTCGACTACTGTTTGGCGTTACTTCATTTGCTTCTCTCTTTTTTGTGCTCGTGATTCTTATATAACTCTGAGATAAAAAATAAACATCAAAAAATAAACTAAATTAGTGATAGCTGGAATTGATATTTTAATCACAAAAAACATAAAGAAAAAAGACACCAGAAAAATGTAAATCCCTAATAATAGCAGCAGTTTGTTAGTTTAATAGTTTCAATCTCAAAAACAAAAAAATTTTTTCTCAAAAGCAATGCAAAAATTAAGAAAAGACTGTTGCAAAACCAGTTTTATGTTGGGTTAGAACAAATAATTGATTCAATAATAAACTGGTTGCTCGAAAAAAAAAAGGATGAATTATTCCATTCTGTCTTATAACCATTTTATTTTTCCCCAAAAAACATCGTTTGCTGTCCAAAAGATTTTCCTTCTTGCCTAGAAACAAATAAAAAACTTTAAATTTTGAAATAACGCAAAAACGGTCTACTTTTTTGCTTCCAGTTTTTTTGTATACTATTAATTGCTTACCAAATACAGGAATATACGAAGATAAGTTTTCAACTGCGATCATGATTTTACAATTCTTAGGACTGGTGAAAGAAAACATTTGTAATGAAAAATTTAGATTAAGTGGCTAAAGATAGATAAAAAATGGCGTATATCCTTATGCTACTGATAAAAGCGGCAGGCCTCCCTATATATTTCGCTGTTTTCCCATGTAAGGTTTTCGAATTAAGAAGAAGTCTACTTTTTTTAAGTGGGTGGTTAATGACAACAGAGGCGCAAAAAGAGAGAGATAGCTTTACAATAGAAGGTAGCGCTTCATGTGTTGAAAACCAAAAATTTTCTTCTCTTTTTGTGCCAATAACAAAAAGATAAAAAGCATTTTAGCAAAAAATTAAATCAACGCAAAGATCTTTTCTTTAATTTTTTTACTGATAATAGAATATTGATATAACCCAACAACATCATTGGTATCAAAAGAAAAGTACTTTGAAAAATAGACAACTCAACCACAAAAACCTCAGCAAAGATCTGGAACTGCATTAGTAAAAAGAAAGAGAATATAGCCGATTTATCCAAAGATAGTCATAGCCTGATATCAACCAACATTTCGCTAGTGTTTTCAATAACGTTTATTTATTTAAATATTGCCCAACTAACTAAGTAAATAAGTAAACAAGCGACTAATTAATCAAAATAAACAGTTAATAACAAGTAAATAATTAAATGACTAGCCAAGCTAATCAGTAAAACCACTACATAACAAGATATGTGATTAATGTAAAATAATATCGCAACAACCAGACAAAAACCCAAAAATGATGCTGCAGCTGAAGTCTCTGCAGATTAACAGTTAGCTAACCAAAACTGGCACGAACAACAGAAAAGGCAATTATAATTAGCAGTGACCTTAGTGAAGTTGTTTGCAAAACCAACAGAACGAGTGCATTCATAAAACAGAAGTACTGCCGCGCAAAGTTCTTGTATTTTTTTGCTACTCATTGCTTTCTCTCTGGTAAATTTTGAAGCAACTCTTATCCCCAAAGTTACCAAAAACTAACTATTTCAACTGAAAAAAGGTATCTGAGTATTTACTGTCTTCTTCGCACCTAATACAGTCTCACCAATTTATAAGCTCGTTAGAATAGTTAGTTTATATAATCAAGAATAAAGAGGCAAGAACTGAGTTTTGTAAGCAATATGATGTGAGTTTTGTCATTAAAAGCATGCAGACGTTGGCGCTAATTTCTAATAGCTAGTCACGTTCTAAATAGAATTATAAATTTAAAATAGAAAAATAATAAAAAATAAGAACAAAAAAGGTTACTAAAAAAATGCTTACCCCAAGTTTCAAGACTATTTCTCCAATTATTCAGAGAACTAATAAAGCGAAAGTTTTCTTCAAAAAAATTATGTAAACTCAAGAAAAAACGAAAACGACAGCAGCAGCGACGTTCCTACAAACTTCAAATTTTTTCGCTTTACAAAAAGTTTCGTTCCCGGCTTTTTTTCCCCTTTACAGTATGCTATCTTTTTTGAAACATGACTACT